ATTTCAATGATTCATAGCTCATTCAAAAGCCCTAGAGAAGTTAGGCACAGGCAACAATTTTTGTTGAGCTCAGATTCAGGGTTGCCAAATTATTCAAAGTTAAAAATATATATTAATATATTATACTAGCCATTATCGTTGCACTCTTATTTTCCTTTTGCATCGAAAATTGCAGTGCATGTTTTATTATAAACTAGCTTAAAAGCTGCCCTATCAGGTGGCATTTAAGCTTGCTTCTGTGGAGGACTCTTGGTTTGGCCATCATCACAATAGCCAGGGAGGAGTAGATGCGATAGGCATCAATAAACTTTACAGTAGTCTGTCTATATTTCTGAGATGAGGTATTATGTACAGTATTTACATTAGTTGGACTATTGTCCTCATCTTTGTCGCCATATTTGTCACAACGTTTCGGTCGTTGTATGCTCCGGCCTTCTTCAGGTGGTTGGAATTTCGAACTGAACCCTTTATTTCGATCACTGGGGTAGACTGTTCTAGTTCCACGTGCCATGTTTGATGGATGTCAGTTATCAGTTATCTCCTGCTAATTTTCCCTCTGAAAGTTCTCCACTGCCTTAACCAGGTATTGAACTCACCTTCTTTGGGTCTGTCACTGGATCTAACCAACGCCTTTATCCACTGTGCCATGTGTCCTTTACAGTAATTTGGTATTTACTCGACACCCCCCCCCCTTTCATGGTGTCACGTTGTGACACAAGGTCAGTTTAATGTGGGAAGCCCTAGCGCATACACCTGGGGTAAGAACAAAAGTTCCCTGAGCCCCCACATCAGGTGTGCTGACCTCAGTCCAAGCACTGATCCCTCTCTCTAGTGCAATAAGAGAGCATGGCCTCAAGCAGCTGTTCTCCAAGGCTGGCACCTCTCAGTATAATTTTCCTCAGTTGCGACTCTGTCCTTTGACAGAGCTGCCCCTGAGTGCACTCTGCCCAAAGACAGATGCAACTGAGAGATGATAAATAGGGTGTTACAAACTACTTTAGAGTAATTTGTATTTACTTCACCCCTAACGAGGTCAGGTTGTGACACAGTCAGTTTAATGTGGGGAGCCCGAGTGTGTACACCTGGGCTAGGAACAAAAATTGCCTGAGTCCTCACAACTGAGAGATGGTGTTACAAACTACTGAAGAGAGCAACTTACACACTTTTAAAATTTTTGTTTTAAAGATTTCAAGTAGTGAATATATCTTACTTTGCAAAGTGATATTGAGTGTTAGTATACTATATTTTTAATGAAATTCTATATAGATGTTCATGAACTTTTTTATTTTATTTTTTTCTTATTAATCTATTTAATAAAAGTAAACTTAATACTTAAAAAATATTTTAAACTTAAATTTCATTTACCTACATGAATTGAATCCAAAATTAATGATTTATTACAACTGCATGACACAATGCTAATTTAAGAACTAAAAAAAAAAGCCAATGAAGTGAATAAAAAAATAGGATAGCCAACACTTTTTGTAACTCAGTTAATTTTTAGTTTTGTAATTTTACTGGGAAATTGAGATTGTGATGAGGGGGACACATCTTTTGAAGAATTTTCTTAATATTTTATTTTCTGGTATCAGATAACTTACCTAGTGAGCTTTAGTAAATGGATGATGGAACAAGGTTTAGGAGAGATGATAGAATTTATTAAGAGCTACAAAGGACATGAAATTGTGAAGGCACATAGAAGATCCCTTATTTAAAGATTGTATATTTCAATTCCATGCTTAAAAATCTGTGGCAGATACTCTACTGGAATAAAAATATAACTTGCACTGAACCAACAACCATTTTGACATATGCTTTTTGAATCCATCTATACCAACCACCATTGTTTCATAACTTAATTTAGTTTAACCTCCTTATAATCAGCTAGAATAAAGTTTTTTCTGTTTAAATTTAATTATCCAACTCATTTTTTAATCTTGAAATCAAGATGTACAACTGATTTTGATATTTTGTAACTGATCAAAATATAAAAATCCTTTTCATGATTGGTCATAGACAACATTCAATTCTTTCTCTTTCTCAGATCTAAGAAATATTTATAATTGGTTATGCTATCAGTAATTTTTTTTTTTTTTTTTTTTTTTTTTACCAAAGGATTTTTTGCAAATAACTAAAACCTATAAAATATTTTAAAATCTTATTTTCATGTTTTCATTAAATTTTATTGTTGTAAACAATATTAACATTATTAACCAAATCGAAAAGTAATTGAAATTAGCATGTCTTATTGTTTTTTTTTTTTGTTTTTTGTTTTTTTTTTATTCAATTAAAAACTGATAAAAAAATTTCCATTTCAGGTTTATCTAGCAGTTTTATATATTGCTTTCTCATCCACATCACAAATATATCATATTTCTCACCAGGCATCCTGTTACTGAATAAAATAAATGCTGAAAATTGTGTGACCATGGCTTGTTATAATGATTGTGTTATATTTTTTTTGGCTTCATCCTTAATATTTCAATTAAACATCAATTATCATATTTAATATTTTGTACTTAGTGTCCACCCACATTATGTATACATTCAGATAATCTAGGACTTTTCTCCTAAAATCTTAGATATACTAGATTTAATATGCTTTAATGCATAGTTATTTCTCCCCCCCCCAAAAAAAAAAGAATTATCCAAATATTACTTAGTGCCTACTGTATTATGGTTGGGAGATTGATTGTGAAATGCTCAAGCAGGCGACTTGAAGTTAGTAAGAAAAATTTACCCTGTAAAACAGTGTGTGTATGTGTAATATATATATATATATATATATATATATATATATATATATATATATATATAAAATCACATAGGCTTTTTATTTTATTTTTGGTGGGTTGGAGGAAGTTCAATAGATTCTCCTCCTCATACAGTCAAAAAATTAGTAACAAATAATAATCTACTATAAATAACCTTTTTTTTCTCAATTTCAAAATAAATGGTTTCTAATTCACTTATCAGTAAAGGAATAAATTATATATGTAGGGAAATTTTCTTTATAACCTGGACAAAATGGATGAATCATAATTGAAAAATTTATAATTAGTAAATAAAGTATTGTTGAATTTTTAAAATTCATAAGAATATATCCATCTTAGGAATACATTTCCTTTTGTTAGGACCAATTTTTGAAAAAAGAAATTTTTAAAATAATTTTTTTTTTTTTTTTTTTTTAAGTTAAAATATATAGTGAAGGAATTAAGATGAATATTTTTCATTTGTTTATTTCTTTCATACTGTCTGTTGTTGTATATGCAACTTAAATATTGTTAGATTTTGTTGTGTGATTAATCTCTCAAATGCTAAGTCCACTTGCCCTTCAGTGTTATGTTTTTTAATTTGTTTCTAAAGATGCTTGATTCAGCATCTTCATCTAGTTAAGATTTGATCTTGGGTTCTTAAACTGCTACAGTTTTATTGTGAATAATTTGAAATTCTTATTTTAGAAAATTATAATTGAGCATGATCTACTACTACTTATTGTATATTTTAAATAAAATTTATGATTGTACTATGTCTCTTTAACAGGGTATAATGAAAGCGTATATAAATTTATTTTTAACAAAAAATGTAACTGAGAGTGACCTGTTGGAAACTAATACTCTCCCAAAGAGGCTAGAGGCAACCCGTGAATTAACAAGCAGGAGTTATTTTCAGATGTTAGAAAACTAAAGGAATTAAATTTGAATAGGGATTGGCCAAAAAAAAAGTGTTAATTAGTTACAATAAATTAAATCATCAGTGAATATGCTGAGGACCAGGTTCGGTATGAATCAGTAGGTAAATCATTAATTTATTCCCAAATTTTCCCAATTCAATCTCCCAACATCACTTAATTTACTCCTACTTCATCCTCTTACCCTTGCTTTTGCTCAAATGGTGTAGCATGATGAATAGAATCTGGATAACTGTAACATTATCCAATAATTGGAGCTCTGTTCACTTAAATACTATTCACTCTGAAAATCTTTATTCCTGAAACTTGCAGGGGATATTTTACAGAGGAAACTCATGTCTGGTTTTCAAACAAAGAATTCAGAGACACTGAAATACATCAGTAATTTTACTTAGTACATCATCTTAATATCCAGGCAATAGAAATGTGTACAGGCACAAAAAATCAGTTTGATTTTGGTACTTGTGAACAGTTTGTAAAAAGAAATTGTCAAATTGTAATCTCACTGAATCATATTTCTGAATAAATGTTGTATATTACAAGTTGTAATGAATACACATACACAATTTTTGTCAAGAAAATAGTAGGGAATTTAAAGACACCATCTACCCTTCTTTTATTTTAGAACAAAGCATAATCCATAGGATCCTTACAATATTGGTGCTCTCAAAAATTTTTGAGACTTACTTTTTCATTAATTTTTTTAACTCCATGTGTAGATACTGTAAATAAAACTTGTTTGAATATTTAATTTTTTATTGCCTTTTGAAAGGAGTCATAGGTGTGTATATATATATATATATATATATATATATATATATACAATTTTTTGTGTGGATGTGTTTGATCATTGCTCAACCAGAATCTCAGTTGAGGCCATTTTGACTAGAGCTGAGACGTCATTGTTTAATAAAACAATGCAGCATGAAATGATTTTGTCTTCATCTCCAGATTGAATCCATTGGCAGCAAAGATATCTTCACTTTCAATAACCCAGGCAAAATGTCAATGATTGAGATTCTTGGTCAAGTAAAACATCACAACTCTTGCTGATGACAATCTTGAACTAACGGTTTGTAGTTGGATGTGGTGGGGGTGTGATAAAGCCCACAAAAATATTAGTAAAATAATTACTTTTTTATTTTTATTTAAATTTCTTAGGTACTGATATTTTAGATTTGTTCAGCAGTTGTTTTGATCCCACATAATGATTGATTTTTTTTTTTACTTGCTGAATATATATTGATTTATATCTGCTTTGCCAGGAATAAATTACATTATATTTATATCTATATTCCTCTCTTTGTAGGCCTCTTACCCAGGGATTTACGTCAATATCTAAACACTCGTTTTATAAAAGGATCTATTGATCATGATCTCCAACAAACCATACGTGACAACTTATATATGAGAACTGTACCATGTAAGTATACTTCTTCTTTTTTATATATTTTGTTGAGTATTTTTCACAATTTTAGGAATTATCATTGAACTAACTGCACATTTGATAGTTATTGATATTAAGGAATATTTGTGTAATTTTTTCTTATTTTGATAAAATTAACTTCTATACAAAAGTATCTCAGGATGCATGACATCATAAAATTTAAATTATTTTTAGAAGCTATATTTGTGTTAAAATTTCATTACCTTAGACTTAAGGAAAATTTGTTTATGTAAGCAAATTTTATTATTTTCACTACACACACACATATATATGTGCCAATTTTTAAAAATAAATTATCATCAGGTTGTAGTTGGAAAATAAATGGACCTTGTCTGATCATTTTTTGCCATCAAACCATTTACATTCTGCCAGTTACTCATATATAATCTTGTGCATGATGCAAGTCTTATTTTCGTAGCTAAAACCATGTCTAGTTTAGCTTTGGATATAGTGCATCTTCTACTTTACTGCAAAAAACATGTGAAATATATCACAGCAAATTTCTATAAAAAAAGAAATCGCACCAATTTTCTTATTTTAACAGTTTAGTTTTCTTATTTGATAGCACATTTTAGAAACCATTAAACTTTGGCCATTGAAGAAGTTTTTGTAAAAATGTCCACATTGGATGGTTGGTTAGAAGAACTCTATAAAAGTGGAAACATTGTAGATAGGTGATTTCACTGAGATGAATAAGTAAAATTATCAAAATATTACTTATGCATTATTTGGTTAACAAATTTTTGTTTTTGATTTTGATATTAAATTTTTATATATATTCATCATGAAAGTAAAATTCAATAATCTAATATGTGATTATTTAATTTTAATTAGTAAAATTAAATTAAACAATTAAAATTGTTACACAGAAAGGCACAAATCTGTGTTTTTTATTCATACATATTTTATAAGTTTGGTATACTGTATATCTTATTGCCTAAATAATTTAATAACTGTTACAACAAGGATAGGTAGTCATAAAAATAAGTAAGTTGGTAACTAAGTGAATTATTTTCTTCACTATATTATTAATGTAACAAATTTTAAAATTTGTTGGGAGCTAAGCATTTTATAAATATAATGTCCTCAAAAATACTTGCATACTTTGAATAATTATAAAGTCAGTGTTTATTACAATGAATTTCATTTTTAAAATTTAATAAAATCTACAGACAGGATGTAATTATTTCTGTCAATTACTGTTTTCAAAGTGATAACCAGAAAAAGTGAAAATTAACTATCAGTGGTTAAAATGACATTCTTTGGGGTGGACGCACCTCGTATTTTGATATATATTAATATAATTTCCACTTATTATACATTTGAATTTAATAAATTAGATATCTAAAGTAAATACTTAATAATATTCAAATTTCCATTAATCAGTCGGTTATGTGCCATGTGTGGTACATGCATAGGTGATCATGTATTGCAAGATACATAACTGACGAGGCAGATTTTTTTCCCCGCAGTAGGTTGCTATTTCTTTCTGCAGTAGACCAGTTGCCATCCAAGGCTATAGAACCCTATCTGTCCTGCTAGGGGGAGAAGAGAATTCATACCTTTCCCAAGGGTTTCAGCATGTAAGTGAATATAATGGATTCAGCTGGAATTCGAACTAAGCTCTCTGATTCCTCAATCCAAGCCGCTATCCATTACTAAGTGTTTGAAATAAGATAATTCATTGTCACTGTTCTAGGAACTGTTCCTACTCTTATGATTATTTTAAATTTTATTATCCTACAGACAGTGTCTTTGATCATCAGGTGTAAATTGTGTATGTGTGCGCCCACGCCAGATTTCTTTAAAATTTCACCAACATCTCACCTGGAACTATTCCAAGTTTGGTTTTGATAAATTAGATTTTGTATTTAAACATTATGGAAGTAATTTTTTTACACTGCAAATTCTCATTGCACTTATAGATACAGATGAACTAAGGAATTAAATTCTTTTAAAGCATATCAATTACTTACTATGTAATGATTATGTATTGCCAAACAGGACTAAAATAATTTAATATTATAATTAGTCTCTCTAAAAAGCCTTTAATTTTTTAATTAGATAAAGGTTAATTTGATACACTATTTCCAAAATGTTGCATAAAACTATACAACTGAAGACTATTTAACTTCTTGTACCTAGTTTAGCTTTGTTTTACTTTTTTAGTCAACTTTCATAACAGTTGGAAATTATTTCAGTCACTGTCCAATATGTTAACTCTATATCAGCTTTGAAGAACTGTTATGGTTTGATTTATTTATATATATAATATATATATATATATATATATATATATAGAGACTAATATTAAGGATTTATTTTTGAGGTTCAGATAAACCAGTTACATCCAAATATGTACTTTCAAAGGTTCAACATTTTAATTTATTGTTTTTACTTGAAATCTTTCCTCTTTAACTCACTCCTACAAATTCCTAAAAGGAAGGCGATAAAAACATAAATGGGAGTTGGTTGATTCTACTATTTACAGATTAAAATTTACAACTTTGACTATCAATAAATTGGATATTTTATCAGTCCATAAACAAAATATTTTTATATAATGGCTATTATATAAGAAACATGAACACAATTGTTTTATCTTAAGTGTTCAATTTGATTTTCCTCCTGAATACCAACTGAAAAATCTAGCAAGTAATAATTTTTAAAATCTTTCCTGTCAGTTAGTAAATGGGTGACCAAATCTTTTGATTCATTGATGTTCTTAAAATAACTTCTCAGAAATAAAAGTACAAGGTGACTGTTTCTTGCTATGGCTTAAATCTATTGCTTTTTTTTTTTTCTTCTTTTTTTTTTCTTTTTTTTTTTTTTTTTTTTTTTTTTTTTTTTTTTTTTTTTTTTTTTTTTTTTTTTTTTTTTTTTTTTTTTTTTTTTTTTTTTTTTTTTTTTTTTCTTTTTTTTTTTTTTTTTCTTTTTTTTTTCTTTTTTTTTTCTTTTTTTTTTTTTTTTTTTTTTTTTTTTCTTTTTTTTCTTTTTTTTTTTTTTTTTTTTTTTTTTTTTTTTTTTTTTTTTTTTTTTTCTTTTTTTTTTTTTTCTTTTTTTCTTTTTTCTTTTTTTCTTTTTTTTTTTTTTTCTTTTTTTTTTTTTTTTTTTTTTTTTGAGTGACTTAAAAATAGTAACACATTGATTATGTATTTGGTTCAAAAGAAAAAAGTGTGTGTGGGGGGGTGGATATGCATCTATTTTTTGTTTATTTTTTATATATATATATAATAAAAGCTTCGTTTGAAAATGACTGACAAGGTGTGCTGCTTGAGATTTTTTATAATTTCTCAGTTGTTTGTATAATTTTTTCCTTTTCAGGACATAAATTATATAAAAATTGTCCGAATGTTTTCCAAGTGCTTTCAGCTATACTTTTAGCCATTATCAAGGATGAATTTTATCTTACTTTTAACTGAATTAAAATTACTTTATATGAATTGTTTTATGCATGTATCTAGAGTTGTAGGAATGTTTAATTTTCCAAACATGGTCAGCACATTGTGGCTGTGTTCATAGTTGATATTATTGAGTGTTGACTTATTCTTTTTTTTTTATTAATAATTCTTCCATTATTTTTTGCCTTTTTGTACACATGGATAATGCATTTGTATTATCAACAAATATGTTACGGACAGTTTGGAGGTCTCATGTGTATTTAAATGAGATCTAATTGAGCTATGGCCAGAGATGTAGCATGAGTCTTCTTGTTAAACATGTTGTAGTATATCCAATATAATTATTTACAAATTTGGTTTGATCAAGGACACAGCTCCTTAAGGGACATGTAAATTCATAAATAATATTGGTTCTCTGTAATTTAGATAAATCAAATGCATAGTAACTATAAGCAAGATGAATCTTCACTTAGGAACATCATAAAGGGCTATGCAACTCCAGTCGACAAAAACAAGAAAATTAAATTATTTATTATGAAAAGTTTAAAACTGCTAACCTCATCATCAACAAAGTGGTGACTTATTTTTACCTGAACATGTGTTCAGGTAAAAATAAGTCACCACTTTGTTGTAGTATTTTACACTATTGATACGAGTGTGTAGATGTTTTATAGTAAATATTTATAGGCTCTTGGAACATTTGTCCCGCAAACAATATTGGCAGATTCATGAGAGTCTGGGTAAAATAAATAGCACAAAGGAAAAAAAAAAAGATAAATGGTAATTAACATATGTATTAAAATGTATTAAAAACTTGCAACAATTTTTTTTTTAAATTTTTAAAACGATAGACATTTTGTATCTGTTATATTTAATGATTTTTGTGTCACATTTACTGCATCAAACTGTATTTTAGTTTCACAGTTTACTTAAAAAAAAAAAAATTGAATCTTCTTTTCTCACCTACTCCACCGATGTTGACTCATGCTTCGATAACAATGTGAATTTTGGCCATTTATCTACATGCAACTACATTTGTGAAAGGATATTAGGACATTAAAAAAAAAAAAAGTTTTTTTTTTTTTCTAATGTTTAGAATGAATAGATATCAAAAATGGCAACATTGAACTTTTTTAAAATTGTTTCCTTGTTTTTGCATGAAATCAATTTGAAAGCACGAGTAAGGGCCATTTATGCAGATTTTTTGCAGTCTTTGGATGATGTTTTGTTACCGAGCCACCAAAACAAACCAAATGGTCCAGTTTCTGATAGCACTAACGCTTGGCTACCTAACAAGTACCAAATTATTTGCAAGACTGTCAAAGCCGCTTGACCAGAGAACCATAAACGGGGATAGCAAGGGACAGGATTTAGCCCTCTGAACACACATTCTCTGACACAGTATGTACAGTTTTGGTTTGATTCAAATGAAATTTGTGACACACTTGTGGCTTACTATCACCTTTGTGTGTGTCAAATTTCAGAATTTTTCAGCAAAAATAACCATAGCTGTATGTAGATCAATCTTTTTTGTAACTTCCTTACACACACACACACACACACAGCTGCGTACAA